CTGTAGACTCAATAAAACACAGATCCAAACACAACCCTTTACTGTAGACATGGAGCATATCTCAATCCTCAATAAAACACAGATACTGTAGACATGGAGCATATCTCAATCCTCAATAAAACACAGATCCAAACACAACCCCATACTGTAGACATGGAGCATATCTCAATCCTCAATAAAACACAGATCCAAACACAACCCCATACTGTAGACATGGAGCATATCTCAATCCTCAATAAAACACAGATCCAAACACAACCCCATACTGTAGACATGGAGCATATCTCAATCCTCAATAAAACACAGATCCAAACACAACCCTTTACTGTAGACATGGAGCATATCTCAATCCTCAATAAAACACAGATCCAAACACAACCCCATACTGTAGACATGGAGCATATCTCAATCCTCATCTCAATAAGCATATCTCAATCCTCATCTCAATAAAACAGATCCAAATACAACCCTGTAGAGACATGGAGCATACAATCCCAATAAAACACAGATACTGTAGACATGGAGCATATCTCAATCCTCAATAAAACACAGATCCAAACACAACCCCATACTGTAGACATGGAGCATATCTCAATCCTCAATAAAACACAGATCCAAACACAACCCCATACTGTAGACATGGAGCATATCTCAATCCTCATCTCAATAAAACACAGATCCAAATACAACCCTGTACTGTAGACATGGAGCATATCTCAATCCTCAATAAAACACAGATCCAAACACAACCCTTTACTGTAGACATGGAGCATATCTCAATCCTCAATAAAACACAGATCCAAACACAACCCCATACTGTAGACATGGAGCATATCTCAATCCTCATCTCAATAAAACACAGATCCAAATACAACCCTGTACTGTAGACATGGAGCATATCTCAATCCTCAATAAAACACAGATCCAAACACAACCCCATACTGTAGGTACATGGAGCATATCTCAATCCTCAATAAAACACAGATCCAAACACAACCCCATACCCATATCTCAATCCTCATCTCAATAAAACACAGATCCAAATACAACCCTGTACTGTAGACATGGAGCATATCTCAATCCTCAATAAAACACAGATCCAAACACAACCCCATACTGTAGACATGGAGCATATCTCAATCCTCAATAAAACACAGATCCAAACACAACCCTTTACTGTAGACATGGAGCATATCTCAATCCTCAATAAAACACAGATCCAAACACAACCCCATACTGTAGACATGGAGCATATCTCAATCCTCAATAAAACACAGATCCAAACACAACCCCATACTGTAGACATGGAGCATATCTCAATCCTCAATAAAACACAGATCCAAACACAACCCTTTACTGTAGACATGGAGCATATCTCAATCCTCAATAAAACACAGATCCAAACACAACCCCATACTGTAGACATGGAGCATATCTCAATCCTCAATAAAACACAGATCCAAACACAACCCTTTACTGTAGACATGGAGCATATCTCAATCCTCAATAAAACACAGATCCAAACACAACCCCATACTGTAGACATGGAGCATATCTCAATCCTCAATAAAACACAGATCCAAACACAACCCCATGCTGTAGACATGGAGCATATCTCAATCCTCAATAAAACACAGACCCAAACACAACCCCATACTGTAGACATGGAGCATATCTCAATCCTCATCTCAATAAAACACAGATCCAAACACAACCCTTTACTGTAGACATGGAGCATATCTCAATCCTCAATAAAACACAGATCCAAATACAACCCTGTACTGTAGACATGGAGCATATCTCAATCCTCATCTCAATAAAACACAGATCCAAACACAACCCCATGCTGTAGACATGGAGCATATCTCAATCCTCATCTCAATAAAACACAGATCCAAATACAACCCTGTACTGTAGACATGGAGCATATCTCCAAATACAACCCTGTACTGTAGACATCCTCAATAAAACACAGATCCAAACACAACCCCATACTGTAGACATGGAGCATATCTCAATCCTCATCTCAATAAAACACAGATCCAAACACAACCCCCAATCCTCAATCCAAACACAACCCCTGTAGACATGGAGCATATCTCAATCAAACTCAATAAAACACATCTCAATAAAACACAGATCCAAACACAACCCCATACTGTAGACATGGAGCATATCTCAATCCTCATCTCAATAAAACACAGATCCAAATACAACCCTGTACTGTAGACATGGAGCATATCTCAATCCTCATCTCAATAAAACACAGATCCAAATACAACCCCATACTGTAGACATGGAGCATATCTCAATCCTCATCTCAATAAAACACAGATCCAAATACAACCCTGTACTGTAGACATGGAGCATATCTCAATCCTCAATAAAACACAGATCCAAACACAACCCCATGCTGTAGACATGGAGCATATCTCAATCCTCATCTCAATAAAACACAGATCCAAATACAACCCTGTACTGTAGACATGGAGCATATCTCAATCCTCAATAAAACACAATAAAACACAGATCCAAATACAACCCTGTACTGTAGACATGGAGCATATCTCAATCCTCAATAAAACACAGATCCAAACACAACCATGTACTGTAGACATGAAGCATTACTAATTCTGTAAAACATGCTAGGGTAGACTTTATTCTGTATACAAGAACTGTGCATGTGTAGGTTATTAATTGATAATTAATTCAATTAAAGTTTATTTGTAAGTATGATAGAAGTTTTAATAAGGAACCATTATTTTGGAGAAGAATGTTATCAATGTATTATGCAAAATCATCTTTCATCATCATCTAAACAAGATCATGGAATGTTGTATATGTAACATTCCTTAATGGACTCTGATCGAAAGTTCAGACATGAAGAGACATATGAATTGGAACAAATGTACTGCCTGTTAAAGTATCAGTCATACGTCTGGGCCAAAAGAGCTGAAAAAATCAAAGCTCCAATTATATCCATGCTCTCATCATATTGGGGATAAACACTGCATTTAAGATTGCATATAGCATGCTCTACTTGCAATACATTGTTTCCAAAGCATGTTTTTTCTTTCACCAACTAGGGACAGCAATATGATTCAGATTCATTGTGTACACACACAAGTTCCTCAAGGTAAACCAATATACTAGCAAATGTTAGCAAGATGCAGGCATGAATGTCATACCTCCAATGCAAATTCAATATTACACTTCACAAATTTCTATAAACAGTAAGAGTCTGTGACCTTGATCTCATCTAAAGAAAGGTAGAACAAACCGTACCATAGTAGATGTAAATCCCATCAAATAAAGTGACAATGATTTGGACCATTACACTAAAGGTATTCTCATGTTTCATATTTGTATCAACATAGATCTAGGTGTATAAAGAACATCTCTAGAATGAAAACACTGATTTGATATTGGCCAGATATAACACCATATGTAATGCCATTCCCCAAACATTGGTGGGCCTATAAAAATCAATGGAGTTTTGAAGCAGCAGATAAACAGATGCTGCAGGTCTGTACATTGAAGCATTCCTATGCAAACCCAGTCTTAAATTTGACCTTGTGAGAATTTGGCAGCAGTTGATTCACACACCACTGAAATGGGGTATAAGCTATCACCAATAATAACACTGCCGAGATCACTTGATTCTAAATCAATGCTGGCATCATTGAAAAACACTAATATCAAACAGGAAATTAAGACAAATTGATTTTGGCTTTCAGCTATTTGGCCAAGTCTCATAATATGTAGGGAAAGTCATAATGCGACACTTATTTTCTACTTCCACAAGTGGTCAATCTAGAACAATGTAGATGATGCTTAGAATCTGAGTATTGACCAGAGGTTGAGTGACTGTCAGTACATGATCAGGTCAGAAAAGAATCAATTATCAAATGTTCTGTATCACTAACATGGGGTTGCTGTTGATTTTTACACAGTTCAGGCCTGATTATATCATCCATACAATAATTGCTCAGATTTCTTTGCTGACATCAGCTATCATAGTTACAACTAAGTAATGTTTAACTGTAGTTATGGTTACCTTTAACTTCATTTAAGATGTGAGACAAACATTAATTAACATTATACATATGTAACTTGATCACTATAATCAATTCATACTATTCTAGTGAGCACCAAAATAGACAGCCTCATCAATAATGGATAGGAGGAAGAAGAAAGTGTACCATTCTCAACAGATGCAAACACGTAAGTTATTCATCGGTTCCAGCACTAAGTGTCTCTAGCTGTCAACAGGTAGGTATGAATCTCACTAGCAACTCAATGGCAGAAAAGACATGGTGTTGTACATAACTACCTAGCTCTAACAGAAACATGGCACCAGGAGAGATTTTTAATCAAAGATTCATTCTAAATTTATTTCCCAAACAAACAAAAATTGCTGATTAATCAGTAAATGTCAGTAATAAGAACAATGAATAGCTTGTTGTAGCCAGCAATAGGGGTAGAATATCTTCCAAGATATGTAAGACAGATATGTATAGCATGATGTAGAGAAATGAGATAGTAATGTGCCATATTCTGGAAGAAAACTATCAATTCTTTCTATTGGCTGCATATGTACCAATATCAAAATGTTAGGAAATCTCATTAAAATAAAAATTTAAAAAGTCCATTTTCGAAGATTGCAATATTGAACGCAGACAGTATTGTGAGATAATTAGGTCTGTGATTTGGAAAAAATTTAAAGATGGTGATGGTAAAAGTAAAGATATAAGCATTAAGATAATTTGACCTGTGACCTATTGCCTCAATTCGATACTATATGGATCTAATATTACAGCCAGGCAGAAAATTTCTACTGTTTGGAAGGTGCATTCAAACATATTGGGGATGACAATAATCTTTTTACTAGGATTTTACTTGTAATAAATATATACTATTTTCTATTTACAGTAATTATAACAGCAACCATAACCTCTGACCTTTGATCTAGAAAAGTCCAAATATTCCTAAACACTTACCTGTGATGCATTGCTGTCAAATGTATAGTCAAACACAAACTTCTTCTCTCGAGACCGATTTGCTCGTAGGACGTCATCATGTTCTGTATCCATGGGGTCCATTAGCACCACCATCTGAAAGAAGGTAATTGGCAGTGTCAATATGGGCATACTTATCAATCCTCACTTTCAAAATATCAGTTAGTCACCAGAAAGAGCTGAGCAGTTTGATTTTGTGGCTCACAATTTGAAACCAGCTAATCTTCCAAAATCAAATGCTTAAAAAAAAAAAAAAAATATATATATATATTTTATATATATATATATATTGTTCCAGGTGAAAAGTTGATGAAAGTGAAGGATCCAGTTAAAAGCTAGTGTGTACATATATTACATATATATTAAGTGTATTGGCTAAGGAGACAAAATTCACTGAAAATCCAAATCTTTCAATAAACTCAATTTAATGTACATTTAAACTTTGACTGGTGGCTTTGATCTTTTATGAAACCAATGGTAAAACTTTATATGCTACCTATACAATCCTAAGTGCAGATTCCATAAAACATGTACATTTTTTACTTTCAAACCTGCTTCATCATGGGAAACAAGAGTTTTATTTTAATGTCATGTACAGAATTAACATCAAGACTAAGCAGCATTGGGGTTTTGAATCCTCCTTTATCATCTATATATAAATGATTTGGTTAGTCATCATCTATATAATCTCATAAACAAACATTTACATAGAATGTTGTGGTGGTCATCTCTATGTTATGCATTAAATATGAAAGTAACCTACTAACCCAACTCAATTTATTTCATGCCTCCGGAATTCTTGTCTACCTGTTAAACCAATTTCCATATAAACAATCACCTGGAGTCAGGTGTGTGTATCTGAAGTGTACCATAATCAAGGTGGTTATCATAATAACGGTCAAATAAGTCCAGGAATGGATTAAAACTTTTTGTCTTCATGTTTGTTAGAATTCACTTTTGATTTACTATTCTTCATATATATCTATAGATTCAGATAACAGGTATTCCAGTTTGTTTACATTCCACCCAAAAAGTTTTAAGTATTGTTACATGTAAATGATCCTTTAAGTTAAAACCATGGCAGAGACAGCATTATACAACAAAAGGCTCAATGGGCCTGTGTTATCCTCCTTTTATTTCATATTTTTCACAAATACATTGATATTTCGATTAACTGATGTACAAAGTCTTCGTTGATAAGAATTCTTCCAAAGATTTTCACAAATTTAACCAAGATCCTGTTTTTTTTTTTTGAAAACTTTGTTGGGTTTCATCCACAGAACCTTTGAGTAAAATATTGTGATCCTTTCAGTTAATAAGATGAAGTTATTTAAACTTTTTGAAAAATTTAACCCCTGTGACCTAGAATATGGGTCAAGGTCATTTCTCTTTGCAAATTTTTTCAGCTTTCATTCAAATAACCTTCCAGCCATGGCATAAGTTCTCTTAGCCCTTTTGACAAGCTGAGCTAAAAATGCTTATTAATTTCAGAACCTCTAAATATTAATTACTGAGCAGGAAATTGATCAGTCTAACACTGACCTAAAATGCATTCAAGTAAAAATATTGTTCCATGCAAACAGGCTTACTAATACCTCAGACCCCTAACAGATGGCAATGGAATCAGGAATATGACCAAATGTTTTCATTTCTTCTGTACTGAAAATGACTGCAAGGTTCTCATGAATAAGCAACAGAATGGGCGAAATTAGTTACAAGGTAAATGACAGCCAGAAGTAAACAAAACAAACATAAAATTATCAACTAAGGGAGCAAAACTTCAAATATTGTAGATGACATTGAAGTTTGCTGCCTGTGTATCTATATTTACAGTGTGTATTCACTACATAAAGAAGACATGGCACAATCACTAATCATTGACAGTATGTTTTTAAATCAGTTTTTTGTGAAGTTGTGATGTTTAGCTTTTACTACCAGTAAATACATTAATTTTACGGAAGAATCCAAGCCTACATCGTGGCCCTCCTCTGCTGCTTTGCTCACTTCAATGTATACATTTTTTTCTTTTTGTACATTTATTTCATTCTATAATTAACCAAGCTTTTTTTCAAATATTGCTTTCCTAATTTTCATTCTACTACCCAATAACACAAGCTAGTGCCAACATTACTAGTAATTCAGCGACACACAGGTACTGCATTATGTTCATATGTACTCTTACATAAACAAAATTCAATGAGCAAATACAGAGCATTTATTGGCACTTGAACACCAGTACTAAATGTTTGCTCTGTGGAATTGCTTCTTTCTAATAAACATGTATAACAGCTTTTTACTTGTCAAATGGATGACACTTTTATACAACTGGACTCAAAGCAATTCAAAAAGCACAATATCATCATTCACACCAGGTTTTAGCTTGCAGCAAATAAAATGCTCCTTCATTTGCAAGGTTTTAAATTTTTGTTTATTTTTCCATCTTCAAATTCATTCTCACTTTACATATGGTAATACTTACCTATATAAATGTGTTGTATTATTAACTTTAATTTTCAATTTCACTTCAATAAAATTTGACAGACAATGACAGTAAGTAAAGTATTCTGGAGGTTGTGTTATATTTTCAGTCATCTTGTTTTTTACTTGAATGTTTAATACAATGTATTAGAAAGTGTCATTAATTACTTAAGTGTAAACATTTTTTTCTATGAAAATTTTTGAACTAGTGACAAGTTCCAATTTATATAGACTTTTCTGAAGTAATTATTTTGCTATACTAGGATCCTGTTGTTTTCTGTGTGACTACAGGTTATTATAGCTACATATCTGTCTTATTTTCTATGTAGCTAGTGCTTAGTTGTTCCAGGCTATGCTAACTTTAAATAAAACTTCAATCTTGAAACATTGATATTTTCAAAAATGTTCTTAAAAAGAAAAAGAAAAATATTTCACAGAACCAGGCCTGTTCTGCCAGAGTGAAGAAATATATTGGTATTCTTGTGCACATTCAAAAATATAACTGAATTTGCAATTTGACAACATGCAGAGTTAACCTAACATTGCTATACAGAGTAAGATTGAGAGAATGCTTATTGATCACTCTGAGAATGAAGTAGTAGGTATCTTTACATCTGAACCTTTGATGTACCACACAAGGAAAAAATTATTGTTTGTTACATCACAAGAGCAACAGTTTTGAAAAGTACAAAAGAACAAAGACTGAATGTTTAATGATTAATTTGTTCTAGATGAAATGGGTTTGATGTTACATTTGTTTCACCTAGCATATCAAAGCCTGGTTTACTATATACATTGTTTTTTTTTAGCTTCCCAGGCACAGATAAGTTGTTTAATTTATTGCTGACAGCAGTGAGCTATAGCCCCCACCATTAAATTATTTGATGATAATTATCAGACTCAATCAATGGAACATCGGAGGATTTGGACATAAACCAGCTCCCACAGCTCTGTGCTCTGATATTGATTTATTAGATGCTCAGGTAAAACCATTCCATAAGGTTTGTTTGAGTGAAAATATTTGTTCATTCTGTGAACACAGAAGAAAGTTTACAAGGAAAGCAAAGTAACAACATTTAAAAAGAAATGAATTTTCTTTTTTAACAAAATAATGTTCCAGGCAGGTTAAAACAATATTTTTATGAGTTTTGTCCAAATAATACTGTTGCACATTCTAGCTAATGATGTTAATAATATTTTAATAATAGTAAATTACACTCTGAACAAAATGGAATCTTTGAGGGCATGATGTTACTCCAATCAAAAACTACGGAGACTCAAAGCTTAAAAAACTTACATTCACTGTCTTCATTAATATGTAGCTTTGGATAAGTAAAACTTATTAATTGTTAATTTTAGTCCTACAACAAGAAAACACCTATGATCAAGATAAAAGGCCCTGAAAAATACAGATGCACAGAGGTGCACATGCATTCTTCATTGCTAGGGAAGTTCTTTTGAAGGTCTTATAATGTTTTTGTATATTTTGAAACAATGGTTTATTCAGACATGGAAAACCAAACTGTAGGAAAAGCAAACCAATTCCATCGAAAACGCAATTAAGCAGGCAACTAAAAAGTATTAATGAGCATTGTGTGCGATGACTCCAGGAGGTATGATATATATGTAGCCTTGAAAAATATATGACCTGACCAGGTAGTTAGTCTTTGTAATCTGGTAATTGAAAGTCCATGTAACTCCATAAAGTCATGTTACAAAATGTGTAAATAATTAATGGTCTGTATAGAAAATGTTTTATTTTGAGACAAAGCACATTCTCGTCAGTAAATCTAGCTTTCAGTGCCTGACTTTCTTGTGGACTGAAATACATACATAGTAAATCAGATACAATAGAAAATCAATACCAGAAAAATCAATACCTGTGTATTGATCACTAATGGTTTTCTGAGGTTTCAATATACACAAGCTTAAGTATATTTTATTTGGTACAATGCCTCTAACATTCTTTGTCAACAATGGACAGGGTCTGTGTGTCAGATTGTGTCAAGTAGAGAGGTATTTCACAGAGTTAGAAATATGTTCATATATAAACATATTACACGACTATGTTCAAAAAACCATTATATATATATTTACAGATTTATTGCTAAAATGCTGGATAGGAAAGTAAGTATACTGTTACTTATGATATAATTAAGAATTATTTATCTAGGTATCTCAGGTTCTCAGCAGAAGCACAAGTGTGGACAAAGATTGGTTAATATGTTAATTTGGCAATCTGTTTATTTGTTCAAGACAAAAGCATGACCTATCATGAAATTCCTTTACAAAATTCTTTTTGTTCAGGTATGAAATCATAGATTTACTGATGTTCATGTTACCAAGTGTCTATGTATGTGTAATATCCCATTTATCATGACTGTTTGCATCAGGAATCATTCACTTTAGTAAAGATAGATAAATGTGTGTTTAACCAAAGCTGCTTTAGCAACTTCACAAAAGGCCTTAGATGTCGTATCTATGCTGAAGGTTCTTTATTCAAAGCTTATTCTCTCTTTTCAATCCATCAATTCAAAGTTTAAATAAAATGATATCAAAGTAAGATGATATCATACCCGTGAAGGATCTTAGTTAAATAGAATAATCAACTCTGTTGT